AAATACCCTAAAGCTGAGTTGCTGGCCATGAGAAGGGAAGTCAGACATGTTTTGTCATGGCCCCCCTCCCTTCTTAGAGATATCCATAACTCATTAACAGGCCTAAGGCTATACAGGACAAAGCTTAAATCACACCTGCAGGTCCTCAATTTACTTAACAGATCACTTGAGTCTGGGTATTATGTCGGGGATATATCTGGTGGCTTGGCTCTGATCAACAGACTTCCTTATCTTAAAACATTCCATGCCTTGGCTGGGCAAGGTGGCTCAAGCCTGTAATCCTAGCACTCTGGGAAGCCAAGGCAGGAGGATTGCTTGAGGCCACGAGTTCAAGACCAGTCTGAGCAAGATCCCGTCTCTACCAAAAATAGAAAAAATGAGCCGGGCGTGGTGGTGCCCTGCTGTAGTCCCAGTTACTTGGGAGGCTGAGGCAGCAGGCTCATTTGAGCCCAGGAATTGGAGGTTGCAGTGAGCTGTGATGATGCCATTGCACTCTAGACACAGTGAGACTGTGTCTCCAAAAAAAAAAAAAGCTTCATTTCTTTAACCAATTACAAATCAAAGAATCTTCAAACCCACCTATAACCTGTAATGCCCTGCTTTTTCAGGCCAAACCAATGTACCTTCCAACCCAATGTACCAAACCTTCCATGTATTGATTTATGACTTCACGTGTAATTCCTGCCTCCCTGAGATATATAAAACCTAACTGTAACCCAACCAGGCAAGACCACTTGTTCAAGGCTTCTGGGGTGTGGCTCTCCAGGCCATGGTAGCAGATATTCAGCTCAGAATAAACCTCTTTAAATTATTTTACAGAGTTTGTGTTCTTTTCTGTTGACAAAGCTACAAAAGTTGTTCCACAAAGCAGATCCTCACTTCCTGGTGTTCTACCTACCACCCAAGAACCACAGGGTTATAGGAATTAACATGTGAGTGAATATGTCCAAATTCTTCCAGAAATACTTATTTTTGAAGTGACTCACAGGAGAGGGCAATGTTCAACCCAGAGGAATGAAGCAATAATGCCAAAGTATCAGGCATTTATTTTTGTTCACCAGAGCCTTGAATCACATCAAAGTTAGTGTAGCTAGATTGGTAATTACAAATGAACCAGAGGAGATTAAAAAGACAAATCAATCAACCAAACAAGTAAAAGTAGCCAAGAAAGGTAAGATTTTATTTTACATACAAAAAGGGTGCAAACTGAGTCCTTTCCTCCCCAAATTGGAGAAGAGGTATACTTAAAGATCACATTTGTGTTTTCCATGGTGCCCTAGGAAATGGGCTACTTAGAGATAACATATCAGAACCCATTTTCCAATTTCTCCAAAGAAGGCTACTTCCTCTGCAGAGAAGTTTTTCCTAATGGCATACAAATATCTCCTCCCGAGGAACCATTTTAAATACACTTGAAATTGACATTCATGTTTAAAAATACTACAAGTTTCATTTTCACAGCTGAGCTTTGCGACCAGTGCCAGGGTTTATGAAACATTACATATCTAAAAAACAAAACAAAAAAAAAGTAAAAAAGAGGCATTTAACAATAATTAGACACATCCACACATCAATTAAAACTGATTTCCACAGCTGATTCATACATTATCTAGTTTTTTAAAAATTGCAATCAACATCTCAACATCTTTTTAAGAGTACAATGGGCAAAGATTAAAGAAACAGACAAATAATAATATAATAAATTAGAGCATGTAATATATCCAATGGGAATTGCTGAATCAACATTATTTTCCATGGGGGGGGGACTATAATATTTTTGGTTTCATCTTTGTCTTTTCCGATGTTACTCTTCTCTCTGCTTGATAAATAGGGCTCATTCCCAGAGCCAGCTTGCTGAGACACTAATTTGAGAAGCTCACTTACCACTTGTTTACCTCTGAGAATACTCAGGAACACATGGTTCCCAGCAGCCTGGATTGTGAGTCTTTATGAAAGTGAAATGCACATAGATGAGCACATACACAGGCACACACATGCAATCACACACCCCTATCTGTAAATATAATTCTCCCCAAAGAAACGGCTCATCTTTCCTGAGACATTCCTAGCAGATTGATAAGCCTTCTAAAAAGGGTTTTGGTGCAAGGGCTGGCCTGGGATTTGGTCTGGAGCTCATGAAGAGGAACACTGAAAATGACTCACCTGCCCTTAAAGAGGGGTTGTGGGGGGTGTGGGGGGCAGTGAGGACAGCTGTCCTCTTGTGCACTGCACTGTCGTTTATTACCATGAATAATCCTCTGCTCTGAAACCTTAAAGGTGGTGATGGCACTGGAAAAGTGATTATGAGTAGTAAAAGAAGAAAAATAATAAAAGAATTTCTGTCCACAGATCTGAGGTTTCTTTATAACATCCAGTTTGATAATCAAACTAGAAACATATGGAGTACGTGTTCACTTTTTCCTTTGTAAGATAATTTACAAATACTGGAGTGGTTTCCTGGTTGCTTTTTGAGAAAATATCAACTACCATTGTCTATATCCAGGGAACCTACTCACTATTTTGAATACAATGAGAAATCTATTCTTTTGCACTTAGTCACCTGCAAAAGGAGTTAGGAGAAACATATTTTTAAGACTGCTTACTAGATCAAAGACTTCCAAGATTCCTTATTTGTGAGCAAGACACTGCTCAACACTTTAGAAACCCACAGAAGGGCCATGGTTGCCTCTTCTTTTTATTCAGAAACAAAATCACCACCACCCCAAACTCAAATCCAAAGGAATCCCACTTTGATTTCTATCAGCCTATCATGGGGAAGACTGGGAGTCACTGGCCATCAACCTCTAGATGGGACTTCCCTGGACTCTGCAAAAGCTCAAGAACCTCAGAGATAAGTGCCTGTCACCCACGTGGCCAATCCAGATGGGGTGCTTAGTTATCATGGCTCCCTGAGGGTTCCTGGGATTCATCTGCTCACCATGGGGCAACAGTGGGGGTGGTGGCAATGGCCTGGCAAAGATCATGTTGGCTGTATGGTGCTGAAAGCTCCCAATCTGAGAAACTCTAGCTCTAATGTGGTTCTGACACTGAAGACAATGTTATCATGGCAACTCAATGGGAATGGAAAACTGGCTTAAATATGACAATGGAAGAGGTGGCTGCAACACAGGAGGCATGTGGGCTTGGGAGGAGATGCATCATAAGAAAGATCAAGTTTCTTTGAGGAGATGCATTCTAGGATGCCACGGAAGTTCTTATTTTTGAGAAATGCAGGCCATGCTTGCTCATTGGGAGAAGGAATGGATTTTATCTTTTACATTAAAGAAAAACAGTTAAAGCTATGACCTTTAGTAACCACTTTGACATATTATTACCATTATTACATATTTCTGGCATTAAAAGTGGTTACTAACACTGAAAATCAACAGTGAATATGCACTACCAGTGTAGAGGTCCACTGAACTAAGTTGGAAGTTACTGGCTAACGGGAAGAGGCTGTTCCTATGTACTTGGAGTTCTCTGAGAATAAACAGGCAATCAACACTTCTACCAGAAATCTCAGGATCCTTGCTGTCCCCAGTAGCTCACGCATTCCAAAATAAAATGGACTTTAACTGGAGGCTAACCCAGTCACTCAACTGGTACCTTCCTAGACCCTGTTTACTCCTAGACAGACACAAAATAGCAGAAGAATGTTAATTAAGGCAGTCATGAATGCATATTGGCTGCTGGGATGCTCTGTGCACTCTTGCAGAGTAGTCTGGAGTAAGAGCTCTGGGGAGTGCCAAGGTCTGTATAGCAACTTGATCAATCCCTATATGCTTAGACTGCACAGACACAAGTCATGTTCTGGTTATGGGTGCGGGGACCCTTTATGTCTTAGTGGAACCTCAGCCTGCTTGCTTCAATCTGCACGGGATGCAATGCCTGAGGGACTGGAGAGCTTGGGAGAACTCCTAATGGTATAATAAAGGCGTTTTTATGAACAGATGCTGATTTAGCTTTAAGAAGAAATAACTGCATCAATCCCAAAGAAAAAGATTCTCAGACATCATAGCTATGAAATGGAGAAAGCACAAAAACTACAGAGCAAGTGGACTGGGGCAGGGGGGTAGGTGATAGAGGGAGTGCCTAACCCCAAGGATCTGGCTGAGGCATACAACTATAGCATTGCTACAACTATAGCAATAGGGCAGAGGAGGGAGCCCTGATAGGCTGATGGGACTGAAACTGATGGCCAAATCAACTTCTGGGGTACTCATGTTTTTGGTTTTGGTTTTTTTTAATTTTAAGGAAGATCACAATAGAATCTCCCAAGTCCAGAATAACCTTGGAGTGTCAATGGCCCTGGAAGGCTCGTCATTATCCTGCATGCTCAAGGGACCCGGGGCTCTTCATCTTTGTTATGAAAACCAAATATCTACTGAGAGATTTGTGGGGGCTGGAGGGTGAGAGCAGTACATTAGGAACAATCCTCCCCAACAACTGCTCAGGTTCAACCCCTCAAGAGCTAGCCTTTTAAAAATTTTAAGACAAAAAAAAAGTCACAAATACAGATGCAAGGTGGCTTGCTCTGCAGCCAAGCTGGTCACTATCTTTGCTTTTTTGTGGAAGCAAGGTGGGGGAATAGGGGGAGGCACTTAGTAGGGTATGGAGTGCCAGGACGCTCCAGGCTTTGCCACCATTTCCCCCTGTCCTCTCTTGAAAGGCAAGGCATTTTCTATATAGGGATGAGGAATTTAAAGTTTCTATACAGGAAGTTAGAGTTGGCCAAATGCCAGTTAAGGAACTATGAAAATTTCAGTGACGGGGCTTCAACCACCAGGTAATGGCAAGGACACAAACTCCCAATATTCAAAGACCTTACAGGGATGGGGTGTGACAATGCATCTCCCTGCTACTCAATTTTTCGTATTGTATGAAAGCATTTCTTTTAAAGAAATGACAGATTACAATCTTTACATAAGCCAAACAGATTTGAATCCAGTGAAATGATATTCCCTAGCCAAGGTCCAATGGGATAGGTGAAGCCCAGTAACTCTGATCCGTGCTAATGCTGCTACTTTTGCTCTGAGTAAGGTATATCGAGGGACATGTCAGGAAATGCCCACTACCAGAAAATATCCCCACATCCTCCAGTGCAAAAGAGAGCCTTACACCTCAAGCCAGAAGTGAAGATTTCTGTGCTTCACAAACCACCAGACTAAGTGACCAGCCACGGTCCTCCACGGTTAGCTCTCTACTCCCAGATATGTGAACACCCCTTTCCCTGATATAAATAATCCTTTCTCTTCTGTCATATTTAGAATGAGGAGTCACTGTTTGGATAAGCCACTAAACTCAAACGAAAACTGAGCATCAGAAGAGGTAACTCCACATCCTATTGGCTTTTCAAACAGTGAATGAAGAGCCAAGACCCTTCATGGTAGTACCTTATATGAATCCACCATGGCAGGAAGAGGAGGGCATATGAGGGAGGACATGCTTAGATGAATGGCCATCTTATTTAGAAGGAGTCTATGTCCAATTGAGAAAATAATTTCAGACCTCTCATTTCAGTCTCCTTTTCCCTGGAATTTTCCAGCACCAACCAATGTTACTCTCTCGTTCACTGCAGCCCCATGTACTGAGTCCTAAGCCTGCTGCTAGGGACCTGCTGGGAGATCTTCATAAGCTTGGTTTATGATGAGGCAGAACAGCCCAAATGCTACAACTCATCTCTTGGGGCAGACAGGACACACTGATTTTCTTTTCCTCGTCCTATGGTGCCACACCCTAAGGCTCCTCTGGCAGTTGAAAGGCAGGTTCACTGTCCTCCTCTTTTTGTCCTAGTGGCAATTATGGTGGTGGCTGTTTCATCACTAATTTTATCCCTAAGTCACCAGGAAGTCACAGGGCTGTCTAGCTGGAGGCCCTGGCAGTGGAGAAAATAATTTTGAATGTTTTTGTTAAGGATCTCCTTCTCTGGGATGAGCTGTCTTCTGGTCACAGTCTGGCTCGGTTGGCTCATCCCATGTGCTGGAGAGCTAGGATTTCAAACTGTAGGTTTATTAGGTCAAGATGCTCTGGTAGGAACATTCTTCAGCAGCTGAGAAGATGAATAAAAATTCAAGTATGTTTTCTTGCCAACCTGAGTGTTCACTCAGAATGACATAGAGTTTGGCTTCTTCTCTTCTGGGTGCTGCAAAACAAACTTTTTCCACTGAGAATGTCCTCTGGACCCACATTCTCTCTGAATGGCTTGGCTGGCCCCATACCCCTCAAAACAGAAAAAAGTAAAACCCCTAATATAATCAGACACAATATGCATCTGCCATGTTTTTGTTTAAAAAAAAAAACAAAACTAAAAGTGCAATAAAGTCAGTTTTCTTTCCTTTGCTCAGAACAATGTGCATTGTCCTACTACCACTTGGAAAAAAGAGTTCACTTGTCAAGAAAGCTAAGAATGCCAACACACGGGGACAGTAGACTGCAGATTTCTCACAGCTTGTGTCCTACAGTGTAACTTCACAGGAGGGAGGGAGGGGGGAACCTGAACCCCATGGCCAGCTGGGATGGATGCTGCATAGGCACAGAGGAAGAGGAAACCATATTCCCAGACACACCTGGGAGGTGGAGAAAGTTCTTCTCCAGTCCAGGTCTGCCACCTTCCTCCTGCCTTCTTGGCCTCACCCCCAGTCTCTTGAGCTCCTTCCACAGACAAAGCCTTTAGCTCACTAGCTTTTATGCTGGAGAGAGCTGTGGAGCAAAAACCAGGAGTAAACTAAGAGGAGGGAAGAGAATAGTAGTCCTTGAGTTTTTGTGAATGACACCTTCACTGTAAACAATGGGAAGGAGAGTCAACCAGGCAGCCCCAAGGGCAAGCAGTGGAGGAAGAGCAGCTCTGGGACCTGCTCAGAGCCTTAGGCAGGCAAGGATGGCCATTGACCCATTGGGCCCTGGCTGCCACACTGGTTCCTTCTGGGGGCATCTGTTTTCTTCTTTTTGGTTTAGATCTCCACCCTCCCCCAAAGAGGAGTCCCTTCCAGTGAGAAATGGCAGGAGCTGCAGGTACAATTGAGTCAGAGTCCCCAGAGCCTGAGGACTCCTGGGAGGCACTGGTCACTTGTGGCGCTGAGCAGTCTTCTTCCTTTTCCTCTTAAAGAAACAGCAGCACCTGGAGCACAAGGAACATTGCAAGTCAGTGCAGGAGGCCTGCAGGTTCCAGCAGACTTATGCCTGCTTCTGCTTACTGCAGGGGGTAGAATTTTCCCCCTGGCACCCACCCACAGGGCCACCCACAAACTACAGTGCACACACTGGAGGCAGTGGGCAGTGTTTGCCAGGAAAGCCAAAAGAAAGAGCTGCTTGATTTCAATCTACAGCCATCCAACCTAATTATCAAAATGGTATAGGCTAGGCAGGGCTGAAACAGGCATTTCTGGAAGGAGGATGAAGAAGGCTTCTTTCCTAGTCTAACAGCCAACGCAGATGCCTCATCTTAGTCTAGGACCAAGGTTGGGGGGGTCCTCAGGGCAGCATAAGTATAGCCTGCATTGTCTGCTCCTTGACACTGAGGGCACAATTATTTAATGCAACTTACTGGCCAGCTGGCTGGGAGGCTAAACTAAGGCAAACAAATCCCATGGAAAGTATGATGTTTGGAACTCTGGGAGGATCTTACGATGCTACCAGTGAAGCATGAAGGATTCTATCCTCCAACTCTGCCCCCACCCAGGTACCTCGAGTAGGCAGGAGAGGCCCTGATTCTAATAAGAACTGTGAGCCCACAGCTCTTACTGACACTAGTAGTCTCCCTTTTCATTTGGAGGGGACCAATGCCATGGCCTAGGAGCTGACCATCAGGACAGGATGCTCTCTGGTTGCAGAGTACTGCCTAACTTAGCCTCCGGAGATTGCTGCTGCTGTGCCAGATGGGGTTTAAGAACTGGCCCTGTTTAGGGTGGAGTTGGGGCCCATTCCCTTACGAGCCCTCCAAGTTCTGCCTTCTAGGGAACAACTACAGTTCTGGCACATCCCTAAGCCTGAATATCCCATCCTCACTCCTGTCTTTGGAGTAGAAAGTGTGACTCTTGCTCACGTAGTCCATAAGGGGGTGATGAGGGCTGTGGCAAGGCTGGTACAAAAGATATGTCCTTTCCAGGGAGCTGACACATGAGAAATGAAAATGTGAGGGGCAGAGGTGGTGGATGAGTCAAAGATGCCAGATGATGGAGGTGAGTAAAGTTGGAAGTATAACTCAGACTTGCTAGACCCTTGAAAGAAAACCTTTTCTGAGGAAACTATCTTTGAGTCTCTTGCCTAATCCTTCCAGGTTTAATGTCAGGAATATTCATAAGGAAATAAAGAACTATTACTTACTTCCCATACCCCTAGGTTTCCTACTGTAGCTCAGATTCCCTCTCTTTTTAGACTCCTTGGTATTCCTACATCCACTGGACTGGCTATTAAAAACTTGGATTCTGGTTCTAGGTATTATTTGGATTAAAAAAAAAATTGGAGAAAGTTTCTAAGAATTCAGAAATAAACATTTACAGAGACAATGATGGGCTGTTTAACCATTATCTGACTGAATCAAATATGGAAATTTTGGAAATAGGAGTATCTTAAGAGGATCTTCAAGAAGATTTTCTCTGAGCTCATCAACATTTATGAAGTCATTTGAAGACATTTATGAAGTACTATTAATAGGTGCAAATATAGTCACTAACCAGTGTCTTGTGTATTGAGAAACTGAATAAATTCTTCTAAATAAAAATGCTCAACAGTTTTGATTGTTTAAAATGGTCGTCGATGGAAACCCTGAGGAATAATTTTTTAGAAATGGTCTTTTTCTGTACATATGCTTTAGAAAGAAACATTTTCCCAGTTGAATGTCCAGAAGTTAATATCAAAGGAAGCAAATTAAATCTCTATTTCAATAGACTTACCTGTTTACCTATTAACCATGATTTTCAGAGGCACTACTAACTTTTAAGTCAATTTCTATTCTTTTTGGAGGATGCTAAGATGATAATTTTGTGTTTTTAAATAAAAACAGTCAAAAATAAGTTTGAAACACTGTTTAGTTCCATTTCAAATTGTACAATGACTTCTCTTTTACCTCCTCCAAGGTAAGCCATAAGAGTTAATGTCTGTTTACAAGCATATCATAACCTGGTGTGTAATGCTGAAGTCCTCTCACTGGAGGAGAGTATGAGTTGTGGTTCTGAGGAGTTGGAATATTTTAAATTTAGAGTTCTAGATTGATTTTTGCTAGTTACTATAGCTAATGCTTCAGCAGTAGCAGGAATTTTTAGTAATTCTGTCCATGAGGAAGCGGGTCCCACAATCTGCTCTTCCACTCATTGGTTTCTGTGGTGACTACTGGCAACAGGACCTGTTAAACTAGGTCAGATTCTAGACCAAGTTTACTGACTGACTCCATATAGATGTGTCACTCTCAGAAGAGAATGAAGGCAGGTGATGAGCCCCTCTTGTGTCCTAGGTTCCCTTCCAATTGATTCTTTGTTTGGATGACCAGAAGTTCTCAACATGCTGGAGTCAAATCGATCCAAGTCTTCCTAGTCACAAGCCATCCTGTGCTTTTCCCGAGGCCTCTGACACACCACCTTTTGCATACTTCTCTCTTACTATGCCCTGGCTCTCTCCCTTCAGCTATTCCCTTGCTATGTTCCTCTCCTCTGCCACATTTGTACATTCTTCCTTTCCTCTAATACTTGGCTCAAGTCCTTTAACCATCCTTGTCTACAGCGACCTCTTGGCCTCTCAGCCTCACAAGGGCAATAACCTGAAATGTCCTGGAGAACTCCTTGTCCTTTTCATGTATGTATGTCTTATCTCTCCAGCTAGATGGTACCCAAGCTCTTTGGGGCAGGCTTTGGGACCCCCTAGAGTTCCAAGCACAGGGTTGAATGAACATATAGTAGGTCCTCAAGTATCTCTAGTCAGGATCATGTGACTGACACCTCACAGGAAAAAATAGACCACAACAATGCCAGATTACACAGACACATATTTGCAAAATGAATAGGCCAAATGTGCTCTTTGATACCCTAAGACTATTAATCCTACCTCTATAAAATCCTGTTGTTATATTCCTGTCTCTAGGGAAACTCCTGTAGGCAACTTGGCTTGGATAGTTAGGGATCAGAAGCCAGTGCCCAACCCAGTCACTGAAGACAAATAGAAACGAGGTAGTCATAAAGTTTAGCAGGCTATTACATTCATGTAGAATATGACCCTATGTGTGCAGACAATGTGGGACACTTACAATTCCAGACTGCAACAGACCAACAAGTTCCGGAACACCTGGAAGGTCATAGTCAGTGTCCAGAAAGAGAGTCAAGGAGGGGGCTCCGTCTTGTAGCAAGAATGTTCCTCACCACACATGGATTCTTTAGTGCTTCTCCTTCCATATACCCCATGTTGTTCCTAAGAATGCACTCCAGGAGCCTTTTCCAGGAGTGGAAAAGACAGGCTCCCATATGTCAAAATTAGCTGAGTCAACCCTTGGTCCACTAAACTCTCTTATAGGAGTAAAGACAGTAAATGAAAAACAAACAAAACAATCCCCAAAACAACAAAATGTCTATTGCTCCCCCAAGAAGGAGCTCTCTTTTTCTGAGAGATTCGTACTCTATAGATGGAAGAACCAGGTGAATCCAAAAAAGTCACAGATTTTTCAAAGCAGCCAATTTCTAGGTTAGAGACCAAGCTGCAGAATGTAAAATTATCTGGCAACAACACTATCTTCGTGGTTGTGAGGAAATACAACTGATATTTAAACAGCTGATACAGTAACTTTGTCCTCTTACCTCTGTGTCCCTCTCCCTCTGATGATATATGGTCATACTAATTTGGGAGAAAATTCACTCAGCTAAATATAAAGAGATAATTTTGGATACTGTTTTGGTAGGAGGAGGCAGTGATAAGGTGGGTTGAAAAGAAAGAAGGAATGGATTAATTCCTGGGTATAGGCCTGCCCCATCCCCACCTTGTGGAGCTAGTTCCCCAGTCTGGGTGGTTATGGCACAAGGAAGCATATGGAAGCCATTCAATGTTCCTAAGGCATTTGTTTGGCTTTGCCAGTCCCAGCCTAGTCTGGTCCGCTCCCCTTGCATGTGGACTGGAGAGAGGGACTCACCACAGGTTGAGCATTTTCAGGCAGCTACAGAGTATGTAAAGAGAAAAACACAGAAAGGAAGAAAGAGAGAGAAAGAGAGAGATATTAGTCCACAGAGGTGAGATGGAAGCGACTCCCTGTGAGCCATGCAAACATGCAGTATGTGTCTGTGTTTAGTTTCTTCCTCTGTCAAGGTAGGGTGAGTAGGCCCAGGCCACTTGGTCCCCCATTGAAGTGGGGGGAGCAGGAGCCTGACAGAAGCATCAAAGTGTGAGCTAGACCTCAGGGGTAAGGCAAAACAGAAAGAGCTGATGGGAACCTCAGGGTGGGCTTTCCTGGGCAACTTCCAGGAAAGCAGCAGGGGAAAGAGCAAATGGCCCTGCCTGTAAGAACTCAATCAAGCACCAAGGGCAAGCCATTTTGGTTTCCACATGAAGTCTTACTGTGTAAGCTAACAGTTAAACTAACCTTCCCAACTATTTTGAGGGAAAAAGAAGTCCCTAGCCTTTGTATAAGTCCAACCTGTCTGACCAAAGCAGCTAGCAGTTGTCTCTTGCTCTAGAAAGGGAGAAAAGGTTTAAGAGATACTTTATCTTATTAGAAGATGAATCAGAGGGAGGGAGGTCATAGCTCTGGATTAAGGTATAACTACTAGAGAAGGGCCAAAATTCTAATCCTGTCAATTCTTAGGAGAAATGAGGTTTGCTTTTTTTAAGTGATAGCTAAAGTCTGGATAAACAAAAATTCGTGTGTTCTTACTATAACAAAAATCGATCAAAAAGCTGCCTACCCTCACCACCCTTCCAACCATCCTTAAACAAGGACATGTGTCCTGTAGCTAGAGAAAAAGGGAAGTCAGATGTTCATTTTATACACAGAACAAAAATCAAGACCCTGTAATTTCTTTCCACCTTCACACAAAGCAAGCTGGGTGAGGAACCCAAAATCAAAAGCTTGGAAGTGAAGGTTCACGTAGTCTCCCCAGTACCCGAGTTAGTCTCAATATAGCCAACAGCCCCCTCTACCCCACAAGCAGGCTGCAGGAACAAATGGCATCACAGCTGTGTGCAATGAGGGGCTGGTGGGAAAGCCTCAAGCTTCTCTAGCTGTGACTTCTTCTTGTGAAAATGATGAAGCAGGTGAACACATGGCTACCCTTTCCCCGCCCCCATACACACAGAAGGCCAAGAAGAATAACACATGGCAAGGCCCTGACAGTACCCTGGGCAAGATGGATTGGTAGCTCGTGAAATCACTAGGAGACTCAGCATACAAAACACTCTAAGCCACGAGCTTTTGGATGACATTTGGTCAAATACAAGTGTTCCCCTCTGGTTTCTACACCTTTCAGAAGGTCTAAACCCAGAGCTAGAGACACAATTGTCCTTTTTGCTAAATGGGAAGACTTTAAACTCTCTTTACATTCTATAGTTTAGATTATACCAGAACATAATATACTCAATTGAAATCTCTTTGTGTGAATGGGTCCCTGTCTTACACACAGAACACAAACACCACAGTCACATACACAATTAGTGCACACATTTACCAAAATGAAATGAGATGAATGGGTTCAAAAAAGAAACCTATATAGGGTATATCATAAGACTAAAGTCCATTCGATCTTGATATTCAAAGTATAATACTAAATCCAGAGCTATACTTTTAGCCTTCAAAGTAATAGCCACAAAAGAGAGCTGGGAGTGGGGTAGGGGTAGGAACAGGTATAGCTATCTTTCAAGCCCAGACAATGTTTAGGTCAGATAATGTTCAGTGCAGTGGTTCCCAACCTTGGCTACACATTAGAACTACCTGAACTTTTAAAATTCTTGATGCACAGGCCACACCTCAATAAATTAAATCAAAATATCTGGGGCCAGACTCAGGCATTTGTATTTTCTAACATACCCCAGGTGACTCCAAAGTTCAGCCGAGGTTGAGAGCCAAGAGGGTGAGAGTAACATACTGTTTATCTAAGAGAATGTAGTTTTGTCATGGAAACAGAAAAGCTGTGAGCATCATTAACATCTTCAAAGTCCCTGAGAATAGGGAGGATGTTTCCTTATTAAAATGGTCTCTTCCTGGCATAATCAGCTTTCCCCCCTTACGTATCAGTGCCTCATATAATATGGGAGGAGAGCATTTGAAGCTGCCTATAGTCAATGGGGGCTTGACAGGAGAGAGTCCAAGTCATCCTCAGCTACTTTTTAACTATTGGGTAGGAATCTTCAAGCCCTGGCTTTCCAAGGAAAGGAACTCTTGAACACAAAATGAGCTCATCAAACAGATGCTCAGGAGAGCAGGGGAATGGGCAGAGGCACAGCCATGCAAAGTGAATCTGGAAGAAAGAAGAATGCAGGTCTTGGCTGGCTACTCAATGACTCACCTCCAGAGGTGTAAGCATGTTCTGGCTTGTATTTAGGCTATCTGGGGGCTCTGGAGACACTGAGGGCACAATATCACTATAAAAATGTTCCCTGCTTCAGAGAACAAGACACATGGATATCCTGACTATTCTCAAAGGGCTTACAAGAAAGGTCATTCATACCAGGGTTGGCAGCAGTTACTGACTCATGATGTCTCTCCCTACCTGGTGTCTTCTTAGAGTTTAAGTCTAGATCTGAATTTGCGATGGGTAAAAAAGGGAAAGAAGTGGTAAAAATGCTGTTTTTGCAGTAGAATCAGCAGTTATTTCACCTTCCACCCCAGATTCTAAGAGTTTAAACACAGACCATGCACAGAGCACCAAGGGGCTGGTGGTATGGGCAGACATACACATGCAAGAGAAGCAGAAAAGGGCATGAGGGCAACCTCCTCATTCTCTTGGGATGAGTGTCACTTCCTTTCCTTCCTAGTACCCCTCACAGGTGCAGACTACTTTTCTTGTCTGACTTATTCAGTCTCTCTGAATCCAAAATCATTTAAGAGTGAACAAAATGGCCCTGAAACCCTTGTTCCAGGACTGTACGCCCAGTTGTCAGCCCACAACCAGCAATCGAATGCCATTCAGCATGGCCCATGGTTTAACAGAAGATTTTTCTCTGCATTCCATAGGGAGCAAGAAGCTCCACGGCCCCAAGAGGCTCATGGCTACTATATGTTATAGCCCTGGTAACATGATTCTTTTAGTTCACTCTATCTTTTTCCCCGTGTGGACTAGAAAAATGTGACTATCCTCCCTGAAATCACAACTAAAGAAGGGGAGCAGCAGCCTTAAGGTACCATGCAAAAACCAAAACGGTCAAAAGAAGAAAGCTGTGGACACAAGCATGAGGAATCTAGTCTGAAATGAGCAGCACACAGAGAAGAAGAGACAGAAAAGATTTTTTAACTCATGACTTAAGAGCCCCCTTGAAAGATGAACGTACTTAGCTTCCTCCACTACCTCCACCTCGGCATGAGCTGTGATTGGTGCATTGGAGTGGGCTCCCGTGGGGTCATCAACATTCAGCTCTCCATTGGTTGAGCTAACCACCTGAAACAGAAAGACAGAGTGTGATAGGTACCATGGCAATAAGAGCCTCCTGCCAGCGCCAGAGAGGGTCACTAAGGGAAATCTAGTCTCTAACCTAGGCACTAGCCAGGCAGTGTCTGTAATATTTGTTTTTCTGGGTTAAGGGACTAACTGTCCTAATTTAGGGAAGGTTCCCAGACCCATATCACGTAACAACAACTAAATTCAATGACGTAATCATATAATGATGACAACAACTTCCATAATGAATGCCTACTCTGTGTCAGGCACTCTGCTACATTGTATGTGTGTGCATGTGTGTATGTGTGTGTAAATTTAATCCTCACAAAAAACCTATGAAATCAGTCTTGTAAAAAGGTCTATAAAAGATGGAAACATTAAGAAATGACCTAACAAAGGTATACAGTTAGGGTCTATGGACGTCCATGAGGGAAACTTGTTTTAAACATATATTTTCATATTGTAAAAATGTACACAGTATTTATTAAATTAAAAATAACTGCACAGCTGACTTCTAAAGGTAAAATCACTTTGTTCCCTTTAATGTGATGGGTAAATTCTATTCTTCTCAGTTTATTATGCTGTAATTATATAGATTTGGTGATGATGTTTAAAGAAAAAAAATTCTTTTTTTTTTTTTTTTAAATGCAGTTGTGCTTGGATAAAAAAAATTCTAAAAAGGAAACCAGTGGTGGGCACCAGAAACTATAAACAATCACACTTTCCTTCAAAAAATTCTTCATGGCTTTGACCATTAGTTTGAAGTTACTCGAATAACAAAACTGCCACCTCTCCGGTGAGAGGGAAGAGGAAACACTTTCCCTTGGAAAACCAGTCTTATTTCAACGACCTTTATTTCAGGTTCATTGTCATCTCACTTCTCACTGATGGTCCCCGAAACGTAAGCGAAGGCTCTCACTCCTGTCATCTGGTTAGTGTGGACCCGATCAGGATTCTCTCGCTTGTATAGCTGCTTCTGCCACCTGGTTTCATTTCTAGCACACGATTCCCGTTTAGGTGGGTGTTGGGAAGTGGGAAAAGGGACCCCGTTGCTGGACAAACCACTCTGTTGTTAAAGACCTTGGCTGAAACATGGGAAAGAACCACAAAATAGGATAAATGGTTCAGATATAATATGCCCTTGGGTAAGTAATTTCATCTATTTGAGACTGTTTCTTACAGGTTGATGAGAGAATTATTTATGTATGAAGCAGTGTCTGGTACAATACTTGGTACATAATAATTGAGGCAGCATAGCACAGTAAGTAAGAACTGGGCTGTAGAGTCAATCATCCCTGGGTTTGAACCTCAGCTCCACCACTTACTTGCTGTAGGCTCTTGGGCAAGATCCACAGAAATTGCTTAGCCCAGTGCCAATGATACATAGTAATAGCTCAATAGGTGTTCATCTTACTATTACTCTCCCTCCATTAAATGTTTATTCTTATCTGCCTCTAGCTCTGGGGTCCTCACCAGCAGTTAATCTGCAAAAATTTCCTAAATAGTCATGAAAAGGAAAGTAGGAGTAAATGTTTAGTACAAGTAGCCTTTGGGGCAGACAGGGTGAATAGTATTTACTAGTAATCTATATCCACCATTATCTCTAAACCAGAAATAATTGTTGCTCTTATTAATAACACATGCTTTTAAAAAAAATTAAAACAATGCTGTACATTTAGCGAAAAAATGTATAACACTGAATTTGTACTTGCCCAAGGGATACCCAAATTTCTTCTAGTGATCAAATTCAGCATCTTAACGGAACAACTTGACCTTATTTTTCTCCTGACATGATATAATAAACACCATACAATATAGTATTCTTGCCCCCCCAAAATTAAAGTTTTATCTGAATCTAATTATGGTAAACAAATCCAAAATGTGGGATATTCTATGGGACTAGGCTGGACTATTCAAAAGTCTTTCTTTAAATGTTAAAAAAAAACAACATGGGGAGACTGTTATAGATTAAAAGGATTAAAAGAGACTAAGAAATAGACCAGGTGTGGTGGCTCACACCTGTAATCCTAACACTTTGGGAGGCTAAGGTGGATCACTTGAGGCCCAGACTCCGAGACCAGCCTGAGTAACATAAGGAGATCTCATCTCTAAAAAAAATAGAAAAATTAGGTGGGCATGGTGGCATGTGCCTGCAGTCTCAGCTGCTGGGGAGGCTAAGGCAGGAGGATCACTTGAGCCCAGGAGTTTGAGGTTGCAGTAAGATATGATGATGTCACTGTACCTGAGCCCAGGCAACAGAGAGAGATCCTGCTTTAATTAAAAAAAAAAAAAAGAGAGAGAGAGAGAGAGACTAAGAAATTGAAAGAGATTGAAGAGGTATAACAACCAACACAATGCATGAACACTGTTTAGATCCTGGACACTATAGTATTAATTTTGGGGACAACTGGAATTAGGGGAAATGTGACATGGACTGTATATTAGATATCATGGAATTAATTTTCTCAGCTATGACAATGGTCTTATTGGTTACATGACAGAATGTCTTTATTCTTAGGAGATGCAGGATGAAGTATTTTGGGATAAGGTGTAATGATGTTTGCAACTTTCTTTCATATTGGTTGGCAAGGAAACACACACACACACACTCACTCACACACAGAATTAAAGCAAGTATGGCAAAATCTTAATTTGTTAATCTAGGTCAAGGATATACAGGGGTTCATTGCATTTCCCCCTCAACTCTTCTGTAGATTTGAAATTTTCAAAATTAATAGTTGGGGAAAACAATAGCAGAAACAAAAAGTTGAGGAGAGAAGGTTTACAGATTGGAGAACCAAAGCTTCTCGTTCTAATGCTATCCTGTTAATTTCCTCAGTCTTACATTTGCTTCTTGTGGATATAGTCTGGCTGCACACTAATGATAATGCTGGTAAGTTCATTCTGTGAACACAAAGGTTATAGGAGAAATCACAGTAAGTTTCTTAATGAACAATTCAGGAACTAGACAAGATGTTTAATTAAATGTCTTGGCTTCTAATTGACATGAATGAAGCATTAGTAAGCAACACTACTGAGAATTACCTGGTGAATTTGGGTCATGGTGCCTGCTCACAGCGTTTTACATGTCTCATACTTTCTAATTTCTCCTTGCTATGAATTGCCACTTGGGCCACAAGCAGTGTCCTTGGGCAATCTAAGGAAGAGATTATCCCCCTTTTACAGACTAGACATCTTTTGTGTATCAACGAGCATGTGGTCTGAAAAGAATAAGGCACAAATGGGAACCTTGCCACCAGTTCTCTACCTGTAAACTGTACCTAAAACATGTCTGGGACTCTTAATAGCTACAAATCTGGGCCTTTATAGCATCTGCTTAATTATTTCAGGTTGGAGTACAGTTTGTCAAACCACTGGAATGCTGCCTGGATGTGCAGTAAAACAAATACTAGTATAGGTGATAGAAGAGCTGGATTGCAGGTCTACCTTATCATCGACATCCTCTATGAGCCCTGTTTTCTAATTCTGTAAGACAGGGCCAATAACATTCATCCTATTTACCTCACAATTACTGGGGCAGTTAAATACAATGATGTCCAGGAAGGTGGTGAAAAATTGTAAAGAACCTCATGTATGTAATGAATTATTGACATTTTAAACAATATCACTGTTATACTTTTCTACTGAATTTTTAATATAACTTCATTATAAAAAATAAGCTTCATTACAAAAAATAAGTTTTACTTACATAAATGAAATACTGACGTTTATTTTGGTTTAATTACTATTAAAATTAATCCTACATTTCTCTAGCTATATCACACAATACCAAAGTAATTAATGTCTTATAGGACTGCTTGTGAGAAAGACTAAGGTGAAGTACTATTTTGACCTTTAGTCCTTAATAATGATAATATCCTTTTTAGGAGTCTCAAAAATTTAAGCCATTAGTCCCATTTTTCAAAACGTCACCATAAGGAAAATTCACAGCTATGTACCAAAGAAAACAGTGCTTTAGCTGATATGTCATTCTTAAGTCTTATGTCCTTGCTTAGACCTGGAGATTTCTAGAAATTCCCTATACATTTTAATTTGAACAACTTTAGAATAATCCTTTTGAAAGAAAAAAACATATTATCTTGTTGAACTTTGGCCTTCCATATGTAAAAGATCTATGGAAATACTGAAAAAATGGGAACCAAGGGGGTCTGCCCATTAAATAGGTTGGAACAGGGCTAGGCGTGGTGGCTCACGCCTATAATAGTAGCACTCTGGGAGACTGAGGTGGGAGGATCGCTTGAGTTCAGGAGTTTGAGACCAGCCTAAGCAAGAGCCAGACCTTGTCTCTATCAAAATTAGAAAAAGTTAGCCGGACAAGGTCGTGCATGCCCTCCAGTTACTTGGGATGTTGAGGCAGGAGGATCACTTGAGCCCAGGAGTTTGAGGTTACAGTGAGCTAGGATGATGCCACTGCACTCTAGCTGGGGCGACAGAGCAAGACTCTGTCTCAAAAAAAAAAACCAGCTAGAAACAGGAGCATCCATGTGCCTCATACAGAGTAAACTTTTCTCATTTTGGCATTCTGCACTCACTCCCAGGGGCATGGTATCTGCAGGTCATCTAGGTAAGGCCAAGCATGATTTCACAAAGGAAGTGAGACAACTCAGAAATATGGGGACATCAGTTGTGCTAGAAAGGTATTGCTGATTTGGTTTGCAAAAAGCACAACCTTCACAAGTTTACAAAAATCAGGCCTAAAATAGTTTAAGTCCCAAGAGGTAAATGTAATGAGGAGTAGCAGAGCTGGACGTATTAGGTAAGTGGTACAATTGCCTGTCCTCTATCCAAGTGCCTAAGAAGTTGGCAGAACTTAGCTTATAAGGAGTAGAGGGAGGTTGCATTTTTCAAATGTGCTCCCAGAGACACTCAATTGGCTCCAACTGCAATCAAAAGGTAACACCTCACAGCAGACAGTAGGAAACACTGTCCAAATGAGCACCCCTATGTTCTAGGAACATAACTCTAACAGACTAAACTTT